TTTCAAATAAAAAAAAAAAAAATTCACGGGTCAGCAGGTTAACCGCGGCCCGTGAAGGTGCAACCTGCGGGTCACATCTCCTTGACCCGTGAACTGCCCACTCGGGTCACGAGTCAGCCCGCGGTCCCCGGGTCGATCCGGGCCAATTTTCACGGGTTTGATCGGCCCGTCCGTCTTGACACCTCTATTTCAGCCCTAAAAATAAAAAAAAGATTTTATAATATTAATTTTTTAAAGGAAGTAGGTTAATAAGGAGTTAAATGTTTGAGTAATCATTGAACTTTGGTACTTGTCACGGTTTAGTCACTGTCCTTTAAAACTTATTCAATTGGCCACTCAACTTTACTCCATCCAACTACATTGGCCATCGGATGAAAATCGTTAGTAAACTTGCCTACATGGCTGACAATAATGTGATGTGGCAAGTTAAATGGTAACTTAGGTGCCACGTCAACGTCAAGTAGGTAGTGCCAAATGCGCACTTTGGAGAGAAAATTAGCACTCTTTGTCTCCTATTTCCTTCTCAAATCATGTCTCCACGTGAATCAATTAACCCATTAATAGAAACCCCAAATCTCGCACAGCAATTCTTGTTCGAAACCCTAATCCCACAAAATCTATAATATCCTACAGTCGAAGGAGTTATTCAAATCAGCTGAACCGAGGAAGGCGTTCAACCTCTTGAAGGTAAGTCGAAAACAACTTCTTGCACTATTTTCATGAATCCAGACATTGAGAAGACGCTGTATAGATAGTGAAAGTGACGAAGAGCATATATTACCTTAGGATTTGGGCTTGACGGAGTAGCTTCTGCAGCTAAAATTTCTGATAGAGAGTAGAACTGGGGCTCCAGAAAATTAGGCAAAACTTTCGGCGAGTAGCTTTCTGTCTGGACGGCTGTTTAACCCTGGCCATAGATTTTTCCCTTTTATGTTATTTACATTTTTGCAATTTTTGAAATTATATACACGATCTTAAAGCTTTCAGATTTGTGAGTTTATTTTTTCACATTTCAGATTTTTAAGCCCCCAATTTTTTCTTGTTGAAGGGAAAATGGCACAATGATGCAATGACCATTGGGCCATTGATAACGTCGAAATGACGTACCACCTAATTTTCCTTACTTAACTTAAACGTGACGTCTTTAATAGTAAAATGGAAAGTAAGGGTCATTTCCCGCTGAGGATTGTTTCAATTAATCAATTGCACACTAGAAAATAAATTTAACAATAATATAC